AAGTCCGCTTCCTTAAGCCACCACTGCCCCACCCTTAACCAATAGACAATCACATTCATGGCTCCAAAAAAATAGAATAAAAATTGACACTGTGACAACTCTCGAAAAAAACACCAATTTCCAGCTGAAATGTAATGTCTCTATTTCACTCGACCTCTTCTCTCATCTAGGTCAGTCCTAAACTAGATGTGTTCGTGTTAATCCCAAAATGAGTCTGCCTCCTCTTTTATTATCTGTCTGATGATGACGACTGTCATATCTCCATTTCATGGTCTGTAAATCTGTCCTTGTCTTCCTTTAACATCTGTGGTGCTTCTGTCCTTGTGTGCCACGCCAATATCTGTGGGGAAGAAGGCACAGATAGAGAAAGCCTGTGTGCTGTACATGCAGTGGAAATATACAGGGTAATATTTAGAGGCAAAACTCATTTCACAAGCTGATATAAACTAAGGTGAAACTGAAAGTTGGTTCAAATTCATAGGGACTAATATAGAAGTAAACCAGGTCATTTGCGAGGATTTTGGGGGATTTAAAAATGGATGTCCTGAGGCAAAAGGCGGTTTGCCCATTTGATTTATATAAATAAAATCAACTACCCTGACCCCACCCCCATTCTCTCTTTGCTGAGTCAGCAACACCAAGCTGGAGATTTCTTCCTGTTTAAAAGACAGTTTTTTTTTGTTTTTATCTGTATTTCATCATTGCTAATTAGAGTGTGATCTAATTTGGGTTTCGATAATATTGTATAGGTTATTCTGTTTTCCTTTGTATGGTTAATATAAGGTCATTATCACATTAATTGTATTTACATTCCTCCATTTTCATATGCTTTTTTAAAGAGGACAAATACAATGAGACAAAATGTTCACAAATGTTTGGTGAATTCAGGCTGTACAAATAAAACTGACTTAAAAAAGAAATACTCTCCTTGACTTGACCTGGATGATCTTAACAACCAGAGCTGTAAATAGTGTTTCATTTTTCTTCACTTACAGCATTTATTGATGCCTTGTGTTTTAAAAAAATAAGATAAAAAAATTAACAAGCAAAAAGACTGACCTTTGTACAGTTAGCAGCTTTAGGTTCCAGCTCATCCAGGGTCACCAGCCCTGTTAGCAGGCTGCTCTCCTGATACCCTGTCTTTACCCCATATAACTGAAAATTAGCCTGTGGTTTTGACAGAATGAGATGCAGGTTCACAGCAAACCCAGCCATGTCGATGCAAAAAGGTCTTTCGGGAGCATACAGTGCCTTCCAACCATAGACCCTGCCCAAAGCATTCACTTTAGGGGCCTCGTAGCGGAGGCCGCCAACAAACGCCACAGGCCACACGGACACCGTTTTGGTAGTTCGTATCTGAGAGGTAGAAACAGAGGCGAAAGTCAGTCTGGACGATGAAAAGCAGGGCATAACATGAGAAAGAGTTTGATCTCCTCACCTCATCAAAAAGCTCGAGACTGTACGCGTTGTCGTCATCTGCAAAGTACACAACCCCAGACTGGCTGGCACCGGTGCTGAAAGTGTCACGAAGCCACTGCAGGGCCAAGTTCCTCTGGAGGGTTCCATGTGGAACTCCCCTGTTCGCAGGGAACTTGTACTCCTTGGGTGTTTGAACATTGAGGTGGGTGTAGTTCAGCCCTGTCCTTTGGAGGAAACCACTGACCAAAGGGGTCTTTCTTTCAGAGTCCTCCACCAGGATCCAGTGTAGGTTGGACATGTGGAGTAAGGTGTTGGCCAGACGTGTTAGCTCCGCCTTCTGCACTGGTCGGGCGTAGGTGGGGGTAATGACAAAGATCATCGGCAGGATATTAGACCAGGGAGGGGGCCGACTGTCGGTGTAGTTGATGCCCCCGCTCTGTGGGCAACACATCTTGTTGACAGCAGAAGTGTCCTGAGAGCTCGAACGGCTGCTTTGTCTGTCATCTAGCCAGATGAGAAAATAATGAGTGTTTTAGAAGACACATTAACTATAGAACAGAGGTCTCTGTTTCCTCATTTTCTAGTTTACCTTCTCGAGGAGTGAGTGGAAAATTAACTGTGCTCCAGTGCCAAACAGTAACTAGCAGAGTCCAGGGCAGAGCGATGAACAGGATGGTGACAATGTCTCGACTGTTCCGCATTTTCATCTTATATCACTGTTAAGATAACCATGTAACATGGTGACAATCAAGGAAATAAAATGGTGGAAAAAAGAGCTGATAGAGATTTTCAATTTCTAGGGA